TCTGCACCTGCCACAGAAGAGACATTTGGAAAAGCCATCATAGCAGGGCTGGGGCTGATGGAAAACATATCAGCTGTCACTAGTAGGGTACCAGTCCAGTAGTTTGGCATGCTTCTCCCTGCAAAGTCACCCTAAGCACCACTACAGTCACCCTTTCTAACTTGGAGAAGCTACAAACTCCAAAAGAGTAGGCGGAAGCCAAAGTGAGATTTTTCTCTCTGGATGAGAATGTCTACTTCACTAGTTTATGACTAACAGCTTTCCAAAACCTCCCCATCTCAGAAAACCCTTTTTCAAGGAATCCCAGCTCTTAGGAAACTCAACTCTTTTCCACTCTCTGCAATACCAACCAAAAATAAAGAGGCTGAATAGAGTAACATGAACTACCAGGTATTCTTGCACAACAGTGTAAGAACTGTGTTGCCAGACAGAGGCCAAAGTAGCACAGTTACAAATGGCAAAGTTTTTCAGTAGTTTCCTTCTAGCCCAGTAGAATACTGTTGCATAACCACTGCAGAAGCAGCCTACAAAGTCAGGTTAGACAGAGTTTTCCTTCTTTCTTGCTTATTTGGAAAGTCGTTCAGAATGATGCATTCCATATCTTCACCCCAACCAAAGCTAAGCTCGGTCCATCTCCTCCAGCCAAGCTTTCACGGCCAAAAGCCTAACCTCTGTGCCCTGGGACTGATACCTCCAGTGTTGATGCTACATAAATTGCACGCAGCTGCAAAATACAAGACTTCCTTCTCCCAAAGAAAACCCACTATAAATCAAAGAAGATATTTACTTGGAGGAACAAAATCTTCTTTTTCTGGTTCTTTGCCCTGGAAGAAAAAAAAGATCAGTCAAACATTTCCATGCCTGCATCACACATGGAGGTCTAGAAGCACAAAAGACACATTTTATACCCCTGCCTTAGGGAAAATTAATGCTGAAGTTACAAAGGTACTGAAAAGGCACCAAAATGGGGTAAAGGAGACAAAGGACGAGAATCAAAGCTAAAAGTTCACCTTTGCTATAGGAATATGCAAGAGAAGATGAATGGAGAAATTTGCTTTTACTGATATCAAAGGCGTTAAAGACAACAGGACTCTCTTGATTAGCACTGCAGAAAAATCAGTACACGGATAAGCTGGGTTCCTTCACATTATGGGACTGACCCAGAATACGGAAGACACAGCAAAAGCAGAGGTACAAAAAGTGCAAAACAGAACACGCAACAGCAAGATGCAGTAATTTACTTTCGCTGTGGCTGTAAGACAAGCTCACAGCAAATAATCTGTGAATTTCTTACCGAGGGATACCAACTCACTTTGCGCAGACTCATCTGCTTCTTGTAGAAGTTGTTCCACTCCCGTTTCCGACTCTCTTCATTGGCTTCATCCCCATTCCCACTGCTTTCTTCGTCATACCTGGATAAGGCAGGAACACAAGAGGAATAAACATATCTGTAGCTGCAGCATTAACTTGGTGACAGGCTTTGGAACGCCTAGGTTGTTCCAGTATTTACAAAAGAACATATATTTCACATCCTTCCTGAACAAGTCTTAGCTCTTAGTTTCACTACCATCCCTCAACCTGGACAGGAGTGAGTTTCCTTCAAAAATTCACGGAATTTGCTAAACTCGTGAACTAGTAGGCAGTAGCGTGAACCAGTAGCATGTAACTAGTGCTCTGAGAAGGCAGGGCTCCTTTTCAGCTCTGCCTGCTTCTCCCATGGAGTTGAGGAGTCGCTGACAGGTGTCATGTACCCCATCCGTCAGTCACGACTGCCCTTGGAGCAGAGACAGCAGAAAAGGCAAAGCATCCATTCCTCAGCCTCAACTGCATGCTGTACGTTGGCTGTTGTGTTAAACGAAATCCCCATCACTACTACACTGAAATGCAGCAGCTGATTCTCGCCAGATGAAGCCCAAGAGTTTACTGCCTTCCACAGCTGTCACAGCCAAAACTTCCCGGTATCACAAATCAGAGCTTTAAGGCTGTTGACTATTACAACCTCCAAAGCAAAGCTACAGCCAAGTCATGGAGAGGCTCAACAAATCAAGTGGCAAACAGCATGTTGTACAACAGCATTGGTTGCGTCTTCTCAGGTCCTGCGATCAAACACAGGCTTAAGCCACAAGTACACCAGTTTCCTCCGAGTCAGCTGGACTTGTCTGAAGAACAAAGCCACCAGTCTCAGGCTGTTTAAGCTAAAGCAGAGGGCTAGGCCAGCTGACAGCGCTGCGCATCCTGGCAGAGCTTCGCAGGCAGTGCAGGCAGGGAAACTTGCACCCTGGCAGAGCTGCACAATGGCTGCAACTCCGCCAGAAAATAAGGAGGAAGAGAAGTTGTCACCTCCACACTGCCAAGCATTTTACAGAATTAATTATGTTTTCCACTGCACATCCTCCTTTTGCTGTCAGCCTGATAGGGAAACACTACAATTTAGCAATCTGCAGAAGCGGCTGACACCGGCACTCCACTGCATTCTCTGCGATGACTCCAGCCTGCCAGCGGTCCCCCAGCTTGCTGGCCCGCAGACAGCCGTGCAAACTCAGGAATGAACTCCGGATCATGTCATCCTCTGCTGTCACACTGGTCTCAATTTAAACATTGTTATCCTTGTGACTGTGAACGGGCTGAGCCTACTTACTGCTTTCAAAAACTTTCCGGCTAGTTTCTTGAACCAATTACATTCTGCAGGGCAATTCTTAGATCAGTCAACACAGCTTTCGGCTCTCTGGGACATGAATGTGATCAAGGCTGCCAAAGTGTGTGGAAAATGAAATTCCAGCTCCTGCTGCCAGGAAGTTACAGGAAAATACTACCACACAGAAACATGTACTGAAAATAGGAGCGGCTGGGCCTGCAGCTGGGAGCTGCTCTCTTCTCTCTGACAGTTCCTATGAGCTGAGTTTGAGCTACCAAGTACAGACCTGCTAAAACCTCTGCAACCTCTCCTCCCGCCTTCATACAGCTCTGGGTCGTAGCTATCCCAGGAGGAGCCCGTGGGCCCGATGCAGGTTTTGCTCCAGCTGTTGCTGCAGCACTCCAGTGACTCCAGTTGCCTTTTCACTGCCGCTGGGTTCTTGCAGAAGTCACAGCACTTGTTACAAGGTGGGGTGGCATCGCCGAAGTACTTCGCTATGGCAGCATGGCGACAGCTAGGAAACAAAAGTGAAAATGACCTGGTAACTATTTTCTTTGACAAGAACTCCACCCCCCAAATGCAAGGTGTCTTTTGATAAAGACTTGAGTGTTTTTTCACCAAGAATGCCTGTTCCAGCAGCGATCACAGGGATTAAGCCCTGGAGCAGAACTGGGGTTCTGTTCCTGCCACCTTGATTAAGGTCTCTCTGCCTGCACTTCCTCACATGTAAAACAAACAGTGGCATCAATCTCTTCTGCTAAATGCTTTCAGATCTTTGAGATCTGCAAAAGGCACAGTGGATGAAATATGCAGCCATTAATTCTGCATCATTGGTCAAATATATTCCATGTCCAACCAGAATGGCTCTAGGATAAACATGTAAAGAGGTCCTGGTGATCCCGACACCTCAGAGTTCAGAGCATGTCTGTGTATTTCACATTGAGGAGTTTCTATGTTTATTGTTTGTGGTTTGAAGGTGAAGAAATCTACATCTGAAGACACAGAAATGTAAATTAAATCACAGAAATAGCATCCAGACTGAGGTCACGAGGGAGCACTATTCCAATAGTACAGCCTGGGACTCGATCCCCTAACACATGCTTCAGCTCAGCAGCCAAAGTTCAGGTAGAGTCCCACATCCATGAAAACCAGTCCATTTGCTCATACAGCATTGCACAACCAGTTCTGCCAGCCTTAGCGAACTAGCCATGTGAAGATGATTAGATCCTTCCAGGAATCTCCAAAAGATTTCTGGCAGACATCAGTGCTTTTGGATATGCAAAAAAAAAAAAGTTTGGTGACAGAGATATGTTCGTTAGCAATACAGGCAGGAAGCAATTTCTCTTCTAGAACACTCCCTAACCCAAACCAGTGAAGACACTCATTTCACTGGAGAAAGAAGAACCAGATGGTTACTTTTTTTTCTTTTTTCTTTTAAGAAAGTAGGCAGAATTTAGAGGAACTTTTTAAAACTTGGGTTTCACAGCAGAGGTGGCCAGTTGTCTCTTCATCAAAATGCTGATACTAGATACACAGAAACACTTACTTCACCAGGCATTTCGAGATCAAATCCTGCAGCCAAGCAGCAATGTCATTTCAGAAGAGAACTATTTTACTGCAAGGAAGAACAAAGCAGAGATTTTTCTTCTTTACCAAGGAGTGCCCTAGCTGGCTTACCACCTGCATCTGCAAAAAGTGGGTCACACAGGGGAAAAGTAAGACAGTCAGCACTTCACTTATTCTTATGATAAACCCTTTAAGGCGTGTTTGAACTTGTCAGAGATCTAACAAATGCAATTTGCTTAACTTGTGTGCGTGCGTGTGTCTCGGGGGAACAAAACTGTATGTCTACCAAAGCACCACAAACCAACCCTGCAAGGGTGTACGGCAGCAGCTGGCTCACTCATTCCCACGGCCTGGGAGGTTAATTTGCCAAGCAGAAGAAGAAGTGAAGCAGCAAAGCAGCAGGTTGCAGACTGCTGTCGCCGGAGCCATGAAACGCGTGTGTTGAGGCGCGGAGGGCCTGGCGCTGCTCAGGTAAGGAGGGCTGCAGCCGGGGGACGTGGCACCGCACAGCCCAGGGCACTGAGAGCCGCGAGAGGGCTGCGACAAAGCTGGCTTTATGTCCCCCTGCAGAGCCGCACTGCCTCACGCTCCTCTTGCACTCAAAGAGCTCCTTTCACATGGTTGGGGGGGGATGGGGGGGGACCGGGATGGGGCCAACACATTCGATCCCCTTGTCCTGCCTCTCCAAAAGAACTACTGGTGCTGCCTGTCCTGCCAGTGCAACGTGACTACAGAAATGTCAGCGAGCTGCAAGTCAGCTTTTTGTTTCCCCAAAAGAAAACAGGCAGGCATTCTCATTAGTCCCCGTCTCTTTCTCTCGCACGCACTGAGCTGTGTTAGAGTTAACTGAGGCATACAGTAATGGTCAAGCCCTCTCCTCACTCCCACAGCCTACTCACCAGGCTTATGCTGGGGAGGGACATCCACACACACCTCTGTCTCCTAGTGCAAACAAGAGAGATGCCCCACGGGAGGGCTTTGGTGGAAGCAGAGATCAGCTCTGAAGGCACCGGAATTCAGAGTTCTACTTTCCAACCTATCTGGCTTGTAACGCCAAGCCCTCTCCATCCAGCCTCCTGCAGCTGCCTGTATCTTCCTGCAGAATTACCCAGATCGGGGCCACAGCCCCACTTTAGCCAAAGGTGCTCACGAGTTGGGTCATTAACGGAAACTCAGTTGCAGAACTAAGATTGTTACCCAGACCAAGTTGTCCTGAGACACTGCTGCTAGCAATGTCCACTGTATCACCCTACCCTTCCTCGTTTAAAGCCCGACAAGAAATTAATCTTATCTAAACAACGTGCCTTTGTCCAATGAGCAGGAGATGGCTGTCGAGAGCAGAACTTTAACTGATGTATTACTAGCCCAGCTAGTAAACCATGAAGAAATGCTTAGACTTGCCAAAAGAAACCGGTAACGAGGGGAAAGGTAATTCTGGGAGGGGGAGATGGCGACCACCAGCTCATGGACCACCTACCCCATTTATACCACCAACTCAAATGATAAAATTGAAGAAGAACAACTAAGCACGCATACTAATTTACATGCTGGGCAAAGAGGCTTTAACCAATTATTTAATGAAATAACAATGCATATATATTAGGAACTTGAATATATTAATGCTTTATGTATAAATAACTATTAATTTGGAAGCTTGGGTGTGCTAGCTTTGTGGAGAAGCCACCTAGCTCCCAAACTTGCACAAATTTGTAATAAAATCAGTATCTCTGCCCTTGTGTGTATTTTGGCTCATTGCACAGCGGGTAACGGATCCGCTTTTGGACAACAAGACTGCACTCCTATAATTAAAGTCAAATGGCCAAAACCTGAGTTACCAATAAGGATGCTGGGGGTAACCACTTGATTAATGCTTAACCAACTGTGTTTCAGAAGCCTGAAACATAGCTGGTTGTGCATTAACATATGGGGGGAACACTTCCCGAGTCACACGAGCACCTGACCAATGTCCACGAGATGCAGAGCCAATTTACATAAATTAATGGTAGTTTGCATTATTATACATGTCCTAAAATTATTTCATCTTTTAAATACGCAGCTGTATTATTTGCCTCCTCCACCCTTCAACAGGAGTACGTATGAGCTGACCACTGGTCATTACAATGTCTAAACAAAATCATTATTGCATTTGAGGTATCCTACTCTGATTTGACACCATGGGATAGGATGAAGAGCAAATAACAACCAAGTTTATTAACATGTTTTTTTCCGTGGCAATACACTTCAGGACAGTGCTAAACTGACCACACGCCTGCCTGCTCCACGCCTCCGTTTGGTACTCCTTGCTTTTGTACACCAGGCAAAACAGAAGCCCTATTCCTGCAATCAGCAGCAGCAGATGGACAGTCAGAGAAGAAGAAAAGTCACATTTGCCTCTCCCAGAATATACCAGAAAAAAAGCATTCCTTCGTATGACCCAAAGAAGGGTACACAGCCTCATCAGAAGAGCTCCCTGAAAACAAAACAAAACAAAACACAAACAACCCAGCAAGTCTTCAAATAAAGCCAGAGATGAAAGCGTTAAAAAAGACAAAAATCATATGAGGAAAAATTAGCTACGTAGATACAAGCTGCTGAACAAAAGCCATTTAATGACTTTTATCAAGTAGAAGAGCAAATCATGAGGCTGATGAAGAGCAAATTATCAGGCTGATGAGAAATTATAATTTTGCACTTGTCTGAGGGACCGTATCCTTTGTAACATCACTTGAACTTCAATGACCCTCTGAGGCAAGACGATGGGGGGTCAGCTGTCCTCAGAAAAAGCGGCTGAGGAAACTGGGGCTGTTTAGTTTGGAGAAGAGGAGGCTGAGGGGGGACCTTATTGCTCTCTACAACTACCTCACGGGAGGTTGTAGTGAGGTGGGTGTTGGTCTCTTCTCCCAAGTAA